GAGGTGGTGCTGGGGAGAGATGAGTGAGCAGCAGAGTCAGAGGCCCGGGCTTTTCTTCCACCCTGCCTCTCTGAGACAGCGTTGTGTCTTGTGTGGTCCTCCGTCCCTCGGTGTAGAGGAAAGCTGACCCCACCCCAAGCCCTCTGTGACTGTCCTAGCCTTGGCCTTGAGGTCGCAGCCTGGGGACCCACACAGGGAAAGCACTTGGGAACAAATGAGAGAATGGATGACTCAGTCCCCAAGCTTCAGGCCAATCGCCAGGGGCCCCGCAGGCCTCATGGGCAGCCCAGGACAGGTCTCACCAGACCCAGAGACCTCAGGCCATGAGATGAGAGGGAGTCCAGGGCAGGTCTCCCCGGGCATAAACACAGACACTTGGAGGAACCGAGTCTAGGACACGTCCACTTATGGCCAGAAACCACTGTGAGTCCCCCAGAACATCACCCACTCTAGGTCCATTCTTGAGTAAAAGGTATATTTCAGGTCCCCATGTTTCATTACGACACTATAGATTAAGCACAAACAATATAAAATTATGCCAACTCACTATTTTTACATGAAACCTTATAGATACATGATCTAGATATGTATAAATGATTTACTTAAAGCCACACAACATATGTACATTTGCACAGCTCCACCTGGGATTTGTATTTCCTGGAAAATTTGTGAAGAAATATTGACATCAAACTTAATGTATTATTTTTACAGGTCTCCATTACATGACAAATTTTCAAAGAATTTTCAAAATAGGCTTACATACATAAAAGTTTCTCCCCAGTGGTATTTTTCATGTATTTAAAAATGTGTATGGCATCATTCCCAATTACTTATTACATAGGTTTCTACCTTGTGAGTTCTTCCATATACTTGACAGTCATCTGTACTGAGGATTTACACATTGCTTTCATAGGATTAATACCCAGTGTTGGGAGCAATGCTACATAATTCTAGGGAAAAATCATTTGGTTAGCCTAGTTCTCTTGCCTACAGCCCAGCTACAGAGTAACTCCAGTTTGGCCTCCGGTCACAACTGAGACTTCAGTGATCCAGTAATGCTGTGATTCTCCAGGACAAGAAACATCCTGGGAGAACAAACATCTGCTCA